ATTTTAATAGACTTTTTACACAACTCCTATTTCATTGCTCCCCAGGGACATGAGTTAATGAAAAAATTACTACAAAGAGTAAGACTACTAAAATTTTATTCTACAAGTATCAATGGTGAAGACATGAACAATCTCAGTTCTACCTGCTGCACTAACTCAGAAACCAAATTAGAAATTTTTTTTCAGCATTTTGTTATTTGCCATTAAGCATACACAGCATTTTCAAGAGTACTATCACAGGCAGAAGCTCAGAAGGGTGGAGATCTTGAGGATAGTTAGAGGAAAATCCCTTTAAAATTAATCTAATTGTCAATCTAAGTAATGGTTCAAGGCAGCAAGTGGAATTGCATTACATAAGCCATGTTCTAAGGATACTCTCTGAAGACACTAACAAACTTGTGGCACATCCCTCACTTTAAGTCCTCCCTTGCTGTACTGCACTTCTTTGGACACTTGTAAAGCCGATAGCATTCATTTTTCCACTGAAGTCATAACCAGCTCTTCTCATTACACTGCTTTCTACAGTAGGGCAGTTAACTAGGTGACAATGGTAAAGCAGGATGTCTCTGCTTGTAGCCAAAGAGTCAAACTGTTCCAACAGGAAGTTAGTAGAATGTTACATGTTAAGCCCGATTTTTTTTTTTTTTTAATATATGCAAAGCTATAAAGGAGTGGGAAGAAAACCTACAGATTTAATACTTTAGATAAAATATTTCTTAAATCTCTATTCCCCTGACAGGTGATAATTACCCATGTAACACCCTAATAGTCCAAGGAATTTAAAAGAGGAGGAAACATTACTAAATCTAATTTTTAAGAAGCAGTAGCTTCTTATCTTATAAAAAATGACAACTCCTAGGCCTCTAGCCTGGACAAACTACTTTTTTTCCCCTTTGCAATGCATAGTTGCCTACATGTATCATCAGCATTCATGAGTAAAAGCCATCTGCTAGCTCCTGCATGTAAAGACTACCATTCCAGGCCCTCTCACACTGGAAAACTAGGGACAGGACAGCAGGAAGCTCCTCATACTCAGCTCACCTTGAAAGGGAGGAACCTGCACTGCATTACTGCCATTTGCAGTGTTCCCGTGGAAGCTATGATTGACAAAAGACCATGTCCATTATTCAAGCAGCCTACCACCCATGGAGAAAAGCAACAGATTCTCCTGTGTCTAGAGAAAAAGCTGCCTCCTACTGAGCATCTCACACAGCTCTAACTCACAGTTCAAAGATACGCCATTTGTTTAACTACTCTAGACAGACAATCTTACTACACTTCCTTGTTATTACAGAAGTCTTTCACACCACACTGAAAGATATTCCTATTCAGATAATCTCACAATAAATTCACCTGGGACTTTTTTCTTTGAAGGAGGCTTCCCAGGAGCACGGGGAAGGGAAGCCACTGAGGATTTCCCCTCTTCCAAGCAGAAGCCAATTCAACAACACATGTACTGAATTTTCTTATTATGTACAAGGTAGTGACTTTCATATGTTGTTTGGTCCTCTGAGTTTCCCATGTTTGGGAAGAACTGATCTTTCCAGGACAACCCATATGAAAAGTCATGGACAAGAAATTGGGTAAGCAGAAAACAAAACACTCCAGGCACAGAAATCCTCATTTTCACTGGCACTTAAAAGCAGAGCCAAAGACCTTCCCAGCAGCTGCTTCTTCCAAAAGAGAAACCACAGAAAATGTTTTACCTTTTCCAAGATACATCTTGTTTTCACACTAAAGATGCATAATTAAATGAAGCCTAAACTTGACAGGCTACCTGCAATACAAGTAAGCTTGTTTACATTGCGAATAAACTATAAATTATGCCACAGAGAGCACCATTAATATGTGTAGGTACCCTGCCTAGCAGAGCAGGGTTGAGGTATCTAACACACCATGATGGGCCTTCAACATCAGTGCATACCCACCCCACAGTTATTATATTCCGGTCAAATCAGAAGGCAACTGGTAGCAGGTTAGACAAGACTAAGACTGCTATGACTGGCTTTGGAGATATGAATCTGAAAGTTGGTTAAGATACATTGCAAATAGTTCAATAAAGTATTCCATAAAGCATTCAATATGATGTTCTTTTCACAAAGGTATCAGGTAGCAAGTTTTTACATCGCTACTCAGACTGAAAAATTTAAGCCAGCATTTTGCAAATCCACCTTTTCAATAAATTTTATTTCAAGATAACAGTAGGTGGCACCTCTTTTAAGGATCAGAGAAATATATTCAATGACTAACAGGCTAGTAAAGAAGCAGTGGATCAGATGTCTGCATCATGGCCCCAGTCTAGAGCACCACACATCAGGATCAGGACAATTTCCTCTGAGTGGGAACACTCAGTTTCACCACAATGTCAAAGTCCATCACCTAACCAACAAGGTTCCTTTCAGTTTTGTAGACTAACAAAAACCAAACTATTACCATTAAGCTAGGGAACAACTTAAATGTTTCTACAGAAGTCTCAGAGTCATGCAGAGTAAAGCAGCATCTAATTTTTTTCTTCTGACAAAATATCCACTAACACTATCCTAGTCCATCATTTTTCATATGCAGGCATACATAAATAATTCTCAATGATACCCATTTTTTAAAGCTGAAAGTAAGTCTGAGGGTTAGATTCTGAGTTTGCCAAACAGATTTTTTTTAAATTTTTTTAATTGAAGTATCAACTCTGGACAAATAGGGACACCACGGTCTAAACACAGTAGTCTCTGCAAAGATCCTGGCACTGACATCTCATAAGTGAACCTCTCCACCCTAGATGTGAAGTTGATGTCTGAGGCAACCTCTGCTCAGTATTGCCTCCAGGCTGATCTGAGGAATATGTAAATATGTAAGTTACCAAGTACTTCACTGTAGGCTGGGCATTTCTATCATTTCAGAGATAAAGGCAGACACTCTTGGTCAAGTCACTGCCACAGAAACATCTTTTAATGGGTGGAGCAACTGAAAAATATACAGTTAGTCTTAATCTTTAAACATACTAGGGATCCCTCTAAGCCTCTGTGCATTCTGCAGTGTGGAAGGCGATAAAAACCAGCCTCTTTAAACAGCATCTTGGGAGATTCCAGTCATGAAAACTTGGCCTGAAACTCAGCTTGTGTCCAAGAAGGAAGAGTAAAGCAGCTTTTCCCTCTCAAGTCATGTACACTAATATGAAAGATGCTGCTGAAGGCCTGAATGTGGGTGGAGTCAGAATTCTGTTACACAAACAAGCAACATTTAAAGATTTTTTTTTTTCCCCTAGCTATAAATGTTCTTTATTTTGGTGAAGAAATCACAATTTTGGCTTGTGACAACTCAAACATTTCAGATTTTCTTCAGCTAACGACATCTAAGGCACAAATCCCTGAGAATTTATACATAAGCTTTAGTTTCACTGCAAGGGTCAGTCAGGTATTGTTTATAAACTATGGTTTACTTTTGTGTCCTGGGAAGTAAGGAAGAAAAGGAAAAGCACCACTGTTACCACCCACGTCAGTCTACTCCATTTTCACTTTCCCCCACACACACTTTTTTTACAATTTTGTTGCTAAAGTACAGTAACTGTTTGCACGAATCACTTTGCAACGTGAAAGAGGATTAAGAATTCATAAACTGGCACCACGAAGTCAGTCACTGGAAACCCCCTTAAGGCATCATTTTGATTTGGGAGACCTGGCTTGATTCTCTAAAACATTTTTTGCCTGGCTATACAGTCACCAGAACTTCTAACTTAGCACCCTGGACAGATGCATTTCTAACTTGTCTAATCCAAGACATTAAATACAACGACACGGTGTACCTGCAATACTACTGGAACGCAAACCCATTCCCTTTCTCACCACTACCCAAAAGACACCTTCAAATAAACCAGAGAATGAAATTACTTTCCTCAATTCTCCCCCAAAGCAGAAAATGGGAGGGACTGCCTGTGGGCAAGAAGTCTGCCAGAAGTACACAAGGAGCTTTCTGCAGCACAGCATCTATCCATGTCTCTCACACATTGTTATTGTGAGCCATGATTCACTGTTTGTTGAAACTTGAAATTCTACTTTTTAAACAGTGTAATCCACTTTATAAAATCTTATGAATCCAGAACAGATCAGGTATTCTAACCATAGTTACTGTCATTTTGTCTCAAGTCCTCTTTAAGTGGCTCTGCATTGCTTAAGTTCAAGGGTTTTCAGACTCGAGCTTTATCTTATGGCTCACACATGAGCCTAGTTAGAGGGCAGTCACTATCCAAGTGATTAGCTAGCAAATCCTGGTGTTAAATGAGGAAGAATGAGCTGGTTGGAACATGGGTTGCCTTCAGGCAACACCACCCGTGAAACAGGTTCAGAGGTCTGCATTCCCTGACAGATTTTATTGTATCTCCCCTCTCAAGATTTCAGAGCTCAAACAACTGCTCAATGAGTATCCTCACTCTTCTGATAATGGATTAAGACAGTAGATGAGAGTAAGTAGGTCTTGATATTTCTTCTTCTAGAAATTCAAGAAACTGAATTTAGTAAACAAAAGGTGCAGGAGTTACAACACAAACAGGAATACAAAACATTAGAAACCTAGAGACTAGAGCCCTAGTAGTACAGTAATTCGTTAGTTCTCTCAGCATTTCGTTTTAAAAATTTGTAAGATAAGACACTAGCAACATGAAAAAGGTAGTATTAATAAGAAATTTAAACAATCTTTGAGAAAGTAAGGAGGAAGCACATAGTGTAGTGTTCAGGCTATATACAATAAAGCATACATCACAATTTCTCAAAACAATTCAAGCTCACATCTAAAATGTTATCAGGTGCATTAAAAATCAAAATTTTCTGTACTTAATCATTATCTAACTCTAAACAGATTACAAAGGACTAACCATCTGCTACATAGTGAAGTCCTAGTCTATTCTATTGACATTAGAATGCTTAAGTTAAACTTGGAAAAGAAGTCATGCATCTGATCAACAAGAAGTCAAAACACTACAGTTACTTTAAATCATAGTTAACACTACATACTTTTATGGTTTTAGTTTGAAGTCTCAATCCATTCAGAGTGTTGATGGCTTTTTCAGCATCCTTGGGGTCAACGTAGTTCACAAAGCCGTAACCCAAGCTCTGTCCTGATCAAAAAGAGGAAGAGTGACCATTAGTACCGCAGCGCTACAGAATGGTTAACTAACAGTGTTTAAAACCTACATAGACAAACTGAGTAAAAACTGCTTCTATTAAAGAACAGTATGTGCCCCAGATAAAGTTTCAAAGGTTCACAACACCTAATTTTTCTAGTAAGGTCAGTGTTTTTTAACTAGGTTCCTTGGTTCCCATGAACTGCCCTAAGTTCAATGCAGAAATGACTACAGTCAGTTTAATGAAAGACTTAAAAATTGCTATGCAAAGTAAGTTCAGGAGTTTGTTATGATCTGCTAGAGATTAGTAGTGCAGGAGCTTCAAGACTGAGACGACACCAAAAATCCACTACTTCTGAACTTTTAAACTGAACATAAAAAGTACAGTGGTAGAATTCTGTACCAGTGCTTGAAAATGAGTGTTTCAAATATACTTCGGTATCAGAATTTGAGCCATATTTGAAGCCAAACATTTCTACTGATGTTATTCACACACTAAATAGAGCCTCCCAGTAACAAGGAGTTTAAAGATCATTTTATTCTTATATTCAAAACAACTGGTACAAGTAACTGAGCTACATATAATCTAAAGATGCAGCATTTCCATGTTCTTTTGGCATCAGTAATTCAGGTGATAGATGGACATAAAGCATTTTTAATTAGCTCTTAATCACTGAACCACAGCCCATTTCTAGCAGTGTATTCTAAGCACTTTAAACACTTGAGAGTTTACCAGTAGTCATCTCTTGATAACTTCCTACAGTATACCATCCTTAGCCTGCATGCAGCTTTAAAAATATTTTTAGTATGCAAGGATGCAAATAGTTAGAAAAATTTAACATAGTAAAAGGATACCACTTAGGAAGAATACTATCCTTCCTGATGGGAAGTTTGTAATTGATTAAATACAACAAGAGAGGGTTCAGCAACAAGCCTACCACTGCTGGCATTTGTAATTTCATGCAAATTAGTCTACCATAGCACCAAAAGCTACCATAGCACCACCAACCCAAAACTATCCCCATTCTTTCAATCTCCTCCTCAAAACAGCACACATAAGTACAAATAAATTTGTTAGATTGGTTAGAAACCATGAACAGGTTAACATATGCAAAGTTATTAACAAAAAACATCCAGACCCCAACTGGATGAAGCCCTGAGCAACCTGCTCTAGACAACCCTGCTCTGAGCAGGAGGTTGGAGTACACAATCTCCAGAAGTGCCTCCAACCTCAGCAATTCCGTGTTTGTGACAAATAGTATGGAAACAGGCAGAAGCATTTCTGTACGCACTTACAGCTCTACCTAGATACAGCTAAGTTCCTTGTCCTCGAAGTGCCTTTTTCCTTATTAGTTTGATTACAGTAATTTATATACCAGTCACCTCCATCACTCCTCCCACTGTCTGCAGAAACCTCCCAGCAGTGTCTCCAAAAAAGAGCAACTTAAAGGAATGTATCTTTTTGTGCACAGCTTTTAGTCTTACCTCACAATAAAGAAACACTGATTTTTGGTACTATTCTTAATCTCCTAGGAAGGAACCAATTTAAACCACAACCTTAAAAGACATTACAAATCTCAAAGAGAAAGCCATTTCATGTAATGTGTTCCTGATACACTACTCACCAATTCCAGAGCGAACATAAGATGTGCAGAAGCTTCTACTATGCCTCTGTTCATGTTATATATTTCTCACATTAAAAACACCCTGACCACAGCATACCTAGCAGTTACAAAGCATCTCATTCACGACTAGTTCTGCTGGAGACATTTTATTAGTTAAGCTTGATAAATATTAGTAGACTAGCCTAGGAAACTGCACAAACAAAATCCAGTAATTTATTCAGGCCAAGCTTGAACTCATTTCTGCAGGTTTATTCTGTAATTCTGCAATTAAAAAGGCTTTCACTGTGAGCTGGGTGGAACACTGAAGTAGGTCACCCAGAGGGACTGTGAAGTCTCCATTCCTGGAGATACTCAAAGTCTGACTGGACATGTTCCTGGGCAACGCAGTCAGGGAGAACTTGCTTGAGGAAGGAGAATTGATTAGATTATTTGTAGAAATGCCTTCCACCCTCAATGATTCTGTGAAGAATTTCTTTTAATTCAGTTTTATATAATTTGGTCTATCATCTAAATTTCAAAGACGTTCAGATCTGACATTCCCAAGGGCTTATGTATTTGAAAAGGTTAAGAAAAGGTAGAACTTCTTAGAGAGATTGAAATTTTGCCTGAAGATTAGTGGTTCAATTACACATTATCAATAATTCATTGGCAAAAATCACTTCCTTCAAAGAAGCACATAAAGATGAATCTTGGCTCTCAACAAGCAATACAAATACTTGAAATTGAACCTGATTCCTGGAATCAGATGCTTGAGGGAGCACTCAAGTTTTCCTGCCTGTGTTAAGAGAAGATGTTTAAGAGGTTTGCCACTTCATATACAGATAGCCGAGTTTTAGAAAATACAAACACTTAACAAAATGCAGTAGAATCAGCTATTTCAAACAACCCATCAGATATCTCAACTGTTGTAAAGTGCATCTGACAGCTAGCAGTATTTCCCACTTGATGCGAAAGTGCCATGCCAGCTGGGTCACAAAAATTCAGAAGCTCAGCTCTTAAGTGTTTCACTGGGTCACAGTTTAGGCCCAGTCAGCAACTGAGCACCACACAGCTGTCCATTCACTCCTGCCTCTGGGGGGGATGGGGAAAGAAAATATAACAAAAGGGAAGAGGGAGGGATAACTTGCCAGTTACGGTCATAGACAAAAGACTGACCCGATTTGGGGAAGAGAAACCTGATCAATTGAACTTGAACATCACCACCATTAATTTACCAATCAAATTAGAGTAGGATAGCATGAAATACAACATTTTAACAACACCTTCCTCCCACACCTCTGTTCTTCCCAGGCTGTTTTGCTCTTAATTTCTCTATCTCCTCCCCCCAGCAGAACAGGGGTGCAGGGGATGGTGGCTGTGGTCAGCCCATCACCCACTGTCTCTGCCGCTCCTTCCTCCTCACGGGGAGGACCCCTCACACTCTTCCCCTGCCCCAGCGCGGGGTCCCCCCCACAGCAGAGAGTCCTCCATCAACTTCTCCACGGTGGGTCCTTCCCACAGGCTGCAGCTCTTCACGCCCTGCCCCAGCGTGGGTCCCTTCCCCGGGGTGCAGTCCCTCAGGAACAGGCTGCTCCAGCGTGGGTCCCCCACGGGGTCACAGCTCCTGCCAGCAAACCCGCTCCAGCCTGGGCTCCTCTCTCCATGGGGCCGCAGGGCCTGCCAGGAGCCTGCTCCAGCACGGGCTTCCCGCGGGGTCACAGCCTCCTTCGGGCACATCCCCCTGCTCCGGGGTGGGCTCCTCCCCGGGCTGCAGGTGGAGATCTGCTCCCCCATGGACCTCCCTGGGCGCAGGGCACAGCTGCCTCACCACGGCCTGCGCCGCGGGCTGCGGGGGAATCCTGCTCTGCCTCCTGGAGCACCTCCTCGCCCTCCTTCTGCACTGACCTCGCTGTCTGCAGAGCTGTTCCTCTCATATTTCACTCTTCTCACTGCAGGTTTTCATTTCTTAAATATATTATCACAGAGGCATGGCCACCATCATTAATTGGCTCAGCTTTTGCCCGCAGTAGATCCAACAGCTTCTAACAGCTTCTCACGGGAGTCACCCTTGTGACCCCCTCACCCTCTATACACAAACCCAACACACACTGATGTACAAACTTCAGTCCAAACCTACACTAATACCACTGTGGCTGAACAAACCAGAGAGAAGTCCCATCTGACTGTGGATTTCACATGGAGAGAGAGCAGCATACCCAGTGCACACAGATTTTATTATAGATACCTGGCAAATAAAATTCAAACAGGTTCTTCTTCTGTGCAGCCTTTCCCCTCTTTCAATGTCTAAACTTTCTGCTTTCAAGGCAAACCAAGTGGAGGCTAGGTGCTTAGAATATCTAAGAGAAGCATCATTATTTAATAACTGTAACAACTAACTTGCATTGCCTGAAGACAAGGACTAAACTGAACACTGACATAAAACAGCTCTGGACTCTTCCATCTGTGCCTCTTCTACAACAAACTCCACTTGCCAAGACAGGTATCTCCCAAAGAACACATATTTGTTTCAAAGTCCAGTAACACACTCAAAGTAGATTACGTGTCTGAGTCCACAATAGGGTGATAGAAGAAAAAAAGTAAATCTGTAGTTGTCCACAAATTAAATAGTCCTCAGATCTAAATGTGTACCAGAAAACAGCTTAGTCTCCTACTGTTTTTAAGACAGGGTCTGCTCCATCTGTTTCTTGCTCAGCTCTGTTTTTCCAACTTGTGCTTACTGACTCTATAGTCTGAAAAACCTGACACCTCTCCAAGTTAGCTGTCCTGGTGCTTTGTCTGCTATAATGTGTTTGAAGTATTCTGAACATCCAGTTTGGCCCTTTCCTAGATCTACAAAATTATGGCCTACTCAACCTCACAGATAAGAGACTACAGATTGACTAAATTCCTTATTTTTGTGAGTGATTACTGGTGCTATTAAGAAGAAAGAATTCATCACCTTCAGGGGGAATACTCTGCTCATTTGTGGAAGTGAGCAATACTTGGGAAGTTACACACTCAATCAGTCGAGCTGCTTCTCCTCAACAGCACTGTGTAAAGCTGTTTTTGTATACTTTCTACTTGATTGTAGGAATTGGACATTATGAATATTAGACAATATGGTGTAGAATAAAATAATAGTTCGGTAAATGATTGGTAGAAAAAGTGACCTGAAGTAAGAAAAGTCAAAATGACAAAATGACCTGGAAGGAATGAAAAAATGAATGAGAAAAAGTAGTCTGACTTGAATTTTGCTTCAACAAAATCTGATAAAAACCAAGAATGGCCATAGCAGTGGAAGGGCCTCTCACAACCCTCTAAGACAACAAGTGTCATGACTTGAAGGTACATATTCATTACATTTTATGTTTTATGCAACTGACACTTGCA